AGGCTACATCACTGATAGGCTGATAGGCTACATCACTGATAGGCTGATAGGCTACATCACTGATAGGCTGATAGGCTACATCACTGATAGGCTGATAGGCTACATCACTGATATATTTTAAGAAACCTCTATGTTAATAGGGTACATCTATGACAGGACAAGTTACTTCTTTGGGTTACATTTCCAATGGAAATTGCCAATTTATTAAAATAAAAAAAACTACATAGTTTAAGCTTCTTTTCCACTGTTAGTTCATTATACATGGGGTAATGTTTAGAAGCAATAATAGCGATATATTAATAATGAATGAATATATTAGCTAATGGGACAGGGTCAATTTATGTCTGCGCTACACTCAGAAATTTTTAATTACAGGCTGATTATTAATGTCATGGCAGTCTGTGCTTTGTAATCTGTTTTTATTTTATTTCTTCTTTTACATCACCATCGGGACCATGAAATGTGCATCAGTAATAACCCGCTTTGGTTAACAGAACAGTAAAAGTGTTCCCACTTATTATTTTAATGGGGTGAGCTGATTTTTAAAAGTGAGTCACTCTCTCCCATAATCTCTAGGAAGTCTTCTGTCACCATAGTCGGTATTTCGAGCTATTTGCTGCTAAGGGCTTTTGGCCTTTGTGAACATCAGTGGTACAGAACTTTTTTAAGGAAGATGAGGCATCCATCCATCCATCCATCCATCCATCCATCCATTGTCGATCCAGAACCTGCTACCCGATACTGGGTTATGGTGAGTCTGGACCCAGTCTCCAGAAGGCAGGAAGATGGTCGGGATGCTGGTCCACACATTCACACGCTCACGCACAATTTAGAGCCACATATTAAGCCAAAATGCATGTCTTTGTACCGTGGTAAGAAACCAGAGTAATTAGAGTAAAACCCTCGCAAACTCCCAGGCTCAGAACAGAGTGTGAAGAGAATGACCGACACCCCACTGCTCCACAGGACGGCAGCCATTTAACTGGCTTTTATTTTAAAGGCATTTGTGTGAATAATCATCATAAGTTTACATCATGTGTACTGAGTTGTACTACGGGGTGTAACGACATGCATGTGTTTATCTCAGCTGTGTAGCGTTCGGCGCTAACGGTACCTTCGCTAGCATTCGAGACGGCCGAACACAAAGGTAATTATATTCATATTAGTCATTCAGTGGCTTGGCTTCCATAGCGTTTTAAATTAATTGGATATTTTTAGACCCTTACAGGCAAATATTTCTTCGAGCAGACAACTCCACTTTACCGGCTGCCTCTCTCCTGGAAATATGACCCTGAGTGATGAATCGTTTCATAACCAAGGACGTGTGTGTGTGTGTCTTTCCAAGGCTTTTCTTATTTTGCCCTAACTGACGTTTTTTCAAATGTTTTGTTCCCTTTGCGGACAGGCTGAAGAAGAAATCTCAGTCAGTGGACATTACCGCTCAAGGATATCCCGCCCCTTTGGTGACGGGAGCATCGCAGATAAACAAGGGCGCTCCACCTGTTGCCAAGACAACCGCGTTCGAGTTGCAAGGAAGCAACGTGGCCAATTCCCAGCGCCACAGCCTCCGGGGCACTGAGCTGAAGCGGTATCACACCGTAGGTAAACGAGAACGGCCCGGAGCCGGCGTCTTATCATCGCTCTGCCTGTTTGAACGTTTCCTCTTCCAAGTGCCTCACAGATGCGCTAAGACCTCACGCTGTAAAGGCCAGCTGCAGGTGAAGACCTCTGTTGTCAAATAATTATTAGACGGCTGGTCTTTCGTAGTCTGCAGTGACGATGTGACTTGGCTTTTCCGTAATGCAGTAAGGTGAGCCTTAGATATGGGGGAGGTGTCCGGGGCGAACAAACTTCTCTGGGGGCCCCAGGCTGACATGGGTGGGGGGGGGGGGGGGCCCTAGGCGTGCCATTTGAGCTATTTTTTGGAGCCAAAAGAGAAACGAGAGGGAATTAAAAATGGTGGAACATCAAAAATATGCTAATCAAATCGCAGGGAACCAGCAGTAAAATTCACTGATAAGTGCCTTTGGTAAAGTTCGCCGATCGGGGAGAGGGGTATTTTTAACCAAAATTGTTATATAAATGGTATGCACTTAGGTTGCCCCCCCACCCCATATTCCCAAGTGCCACAGCAAGTCAGCCATTAAGTTCAGGTTTTTGGAGAATCCTCTTCTTCCCCCACCCCCGAATAACGAGATGTATCGGGCAGAAATTCCTGACACGTACAAGGCTATCGCGGCTGTTTTCCCGAACCCCAATCATCCGATAGCCTTCTTTGGGCGAAAGTCTGCCGACTGGGGCTTCCCGTCACCCCTGGGACCTCGCAGCACGTTGTGCTTCAGCGAGGGTTGAGGTGAGCGCTAATTAGACAGCAGGCAGCGACCTGTAGGAGGCGCTCCAGGAAGGGCAGAGGCCGTGCGATCCCTCAGACCAGGAAATGAGCTCCCAGGAGAAAATAATGGGCACTTTTCCATTGCAGACCTGCACAGAATTTCGGTGGTAATTATAGTACCTTTGCAATTTTTTCCTGCTGACCTAGTCTGTGTTCCAGCGCAAGCTTCTGCCTTTACATTCCCAGAAGAAGAATGTCGCCTAGAGCATAACCCACCTCTTGTCAAGAACCCTCAAATGCCCATCTCAACTAGCTCTGTACAGAGGAAGGGAAAGTTGAATTCCAGCAACACGTAGACATGGCGTGGGAACATAGATACCCCTTAGCACCTGATTGGTCCTCATGGGACCTTAGACATTCCCCTACCTGCCAAACAATGGATCTTACCAGGGGGACAAATCAATATGCTCTCTGTGCTGGGAAACTGAAATGATGTCGAACAGGTCACCTGTCTTATCCGGGCCTGTGGTTGTTAGTCTGGCCTGCATGCTTAATGAGTGTGGCTTAAACTCGATGTCGACACACGGCTGCAGTACCTCATGTGACCAGCAGAGCGAAGCCTGAGCTCAACAACATTCTCATCTATAGACCATCGCTGAATAAAGGAAGGTCACTGGTTTTTGTGGAAGAAGGTCAGTGCAGAAAAAAAACACCCACACTGAAATGGTGTGTAGCTGCAAACAAATAAGGACATCGCTTCGATCCAAGGACTGAATCATATGATACTTGTAAACTGATTCACTGAGGTCTGTCAGACATCATTTAAGTCGCAGCTGGCTGTTAAGACAGATACAGACATAAATTCCAAGTGCTTTGCCCATATAATCCACACCAGCGCACTGTACTCAGACTTGTACAGTGCTTAGTCTATTTCCTTTGTTTAAATAGACGTAATAATGACTTTGCCAACGGCCGGTTCTGTGCACACAGTGATTACTCACAGAGCTGTCATCCTATTAGAGGAATTACAATAACCAGTAAGTTAATACTAGGGATAAGTCGCCTTTATCGAAAATTAGAATATTCAAAAACGTGTATAAAATCAGGGGAAAAAACCTTAAAGTTGAATAATAAATGAGCTATTTTAAATATTATTTAGCAGCAATTTAGTTGTGATTTATCTGTCCTCTTATAAGTTTGTGGTTTATTTGTTCTGCAGTTTTCCTCCACTGTTTCTGCGAGAGCTTCATGCGCTCTCCGAATCAGTCGTAAGCATTTTCGTCCTTGCTCAGTGTGGCACGTTTGTGAGAAATTCAACAAAAAATGAGTGATGCCAACACAAGTGAACAAGACTCATAAGACATTCATTTTGGTATATGGAAATATTTTGGATTCCATACATAGAGTGTTGAGCAAAAGCAAGTGATTTGTTGGCACTGCATTGTGTCTGCATGCACGACTCACGCAACAAGTGTAGAAAAATCTGATATTGAGGCTGCTGTTAATCTTGCATGGACATTAAGGTTGTCATGGTTGTCATTAACAATGTTCATGAAATTGATGTTCTGTGAAATTTGTTCCTAATAAAATTTTAAATAAGAGTCAATTGTCAGTGTAACAGTAAACACTCTTTGGTGAGTTAGCTATAATGTGACTTACCTTTCCCAGTAAAGATAGACTCTACTGGTAGACAATAAATTCTCTTTGGCTGTAGTTTTTTTTTTAATAAATATCCTAATATTTTTGGCAAAGTATTGAAATATCACATTGTGATTTTTTCCAATATCATTCAGTCCTAGTTCCAAGGCTATTTGTATTGTTTTAAGTCATTTTGCAGCAGTGATGTGTCATTTTCTGTGGAGATAAATTAATGAAGTACCCTATAAACCAGAGGAGTATTGTTACGATTTCCGTTAAGCGCTATTGTGTGCTACCTCACTTGAGGTACCTCTGATTTAATTTATTTTCTTTTAGTTTTAAATTAGTTTTACATTTTTTTGTTGCAGCAACAAGTAATATCTAATTTTATATGGAAATAAATGTAGCTTGAAACATAACTGTATATCTATTTTTCGGTCTGACAAGCATATGATTTTAAAACAATCATCCGATTTTGTCGATGAAAAATGAAGCGGAGCGACGGGCCACGAATGAAAGTCTCTGTTTCCGACACTCTCTCAGAAACGGGGATTTTATCACATTTCCCGTTTTCGTATGTTTTTAGCTGCGGCTTGAGGAAATCGCCGGCGGAGAGGACGTGGCGAGAAGGTCAGCGCCGGATATGAGGGAGGCAGGCGCTGTAGATATTTAGTGTCCATCTCTATTTAGTTAAGGGCCTGTGGGAGCCAAGGACATTTATACCTGCAGATCAAATCATTCCCTGGCGACTTGGGGACGGATGATTGCTGTCCGGGGCGAGACGATGGAGATGTTCTCCCGGGGATCACGGGGATGGGGTGGAGCACTCGGGATGAGCAGGCCGCAGGTGGAGTGAGGCCAGGCTGTACAGCCAGAGGTCCCCCGTCCCTTCACACCCAGAATTTGCATTGAACAATTTCATCCTTTTAAATGTTGAGAAGTTGGGAGATTTGAGAGGTTGAGGATTTTAGCTAACTAGCCTGTAGGTGCAGGGGCAGATTAAAGCTTAGACCATCCCAGGCTGTAGTCTGGGGCGCCAGTAAACATGAAACCTCCCCCTCGCAATATTGGAATGGTTAGTAAAATGTGCGACACCTCAGGGTCCATGCTGATGTCAGCCTCGGGACCCCAGATACGATCATCTGCCCAGCTGGGGTTTGACCAGCCAACCCCCCCTTCATCTCTCAGTATTACAGTGGACAGTGTCTTACAGTGGTTAGTGCTGTACTGTAGTAATGCTCTGAGTTAATTCCTGTCTCTCGGTTTGTGATTGATGGTTTTATTTAGACCATCGGTTTACTCATTGCCTGATATTAGTCAGTGTAATGACATCACCCGCTAGCAGCCTTAACGCTAGTGTGTTAAGGCTAGTCCATTTTCTGCAGGCTGTTTCAGTTTGTGCGTGGATTCTTGTGTACATCCTACATTTGTCCGTGGACGGGAATGGTCGCAGGCTGCACATACTGCATGCACAGCAGTGATATCCCATCAGACCAACAGAGGGCAGATGCATGGCAATAAATACCAATACATGCAGTGCAGTGAAATGGGTAAAATTTTATGAACAGTTTCAAAGTTGTTACCGGGTTTGGGCCGTATTAGAGTAATATGATCGATATATGGTATTTTGATACCTTGGTGACAGAATTAACTGGGATACTCCCCCCCAAAAGTACCATCTTTGGCAGGCTAAATGTGGAGGGAAGGGTGGATCTTTGTCTCTATGCCAATTTGTCTTACATCAGTTGATTGCCTGATAACATGATTAATCGACTGTCAAAATAATGATGTTTTTGCAGCCCTAGTAAGTGTAGAGCCTATTCCAAAGACCACAGGCCATGTGGCAGGGACCACCTGGGATGACATAGCCCTTGATCACGCAATTTAAAAAATGAAAAGGAAATATTAGTGCTATATATTGCTACAGAATGCTAAAGCTAGCCTTAGCGTGATCTTATTCCTTCCTTTTGGACACAACATGTTTGAGGCTAGGCCAGACTCTTCACTCAATGATAAGACTAACTTTAGCAAGATCCCCTTCCTCTCTTTCAGATTATATATGTTCCTCTTTCAGATTGTATATGCTAGGCCAGACTCTGCACACAATGCTAAGGCTAACTTTAGCAAGATCCCCTTCCTCTCTTTCAGATTATATATGTTCCTCTTTCAGATTGTATATGCTAGGCCAGACTCTGCACTCAATGCTAAGGCTAACTTTAGCAAGATCCCCTTCCTCTCTTTCAGATTATATATGTTCCTCTTTCAGATTGTATATGCTAGGCCAGACTCTGCACACAATGCTAAAGCTAGCCATAGCGTGATCTTCTTCCTCTCTTTTCCTGCCTGATATTCTGTTTGTGTATTTATAGGGTTTGTGACCCAAAGGGTAATGCACAGGCATGCGGCTCTTCCAGGGTTAAGTAGAACACATACGGCCATCTCATATATGGCATCGCGAAGGAATTAATGGTGTAGCTATTAATTAGTGCACGATTAAGTATACTTAAGTTATAATGCTATTTTTTAAATATCAACACTGAGAGCACACTGCCACCAATAATGATATAGCAGCGATACAGGAAGATTGCTAAATCGACTCACTCTCGCCCCCTGTGGTCTCCTGTGACGG